ACCGCCTGGGGACCCGCGCCGACCTCGGCGGGAGGGGTGGGCTGCCCGACCCGCTCGGCCACAGCCGTGCGGACGAGCCCCTCCGCCGCACGCAGGAGGCGTGCCGAGTCACGCATCCCTCCTGCGGCGGCCAAGCCCGCGGCCGCGTGGACCGCCATCAGGGCCCCACGCGAGGCCTCCAGTGGCGCCGCGGCGCGTGCCGCCTTGGTCGAACCCGGCATCGGAGGCGAGGCGGGAGGCGCGGCGCGGCGCGGCGCAGCCCGGCGGCAAGGCGACCTGATCCAGTACGGTTCTGGAGGAGGAGGAGGAGGAGGAGGAGGAAGCAGGAGGGGAGGGGGGCCGTTGGGAGAGGAGCTGATGAGGCCCCCGCGAGGCTCCCGCTCGGGAGCTGGGGGAGGAGGAAGACAGGGGATTCGGGGGGGGATCACGGCAGAAGGGCAGCGATGACGCAAACGACGACGATGACGATGGCGATGACGTCATCGTCATCGTCATCGTCATCATCGAAGGGGGAGAGAAAGAGAGAGAGAGAGAGAGAGAGCGAAGTGAGAAAGGCCTACACCTCCTCGCGTCGAGGCCGCTGCTGCCTCCGGCCCACGGCCCCACCCCTCCCGTCGCGCCGCGGGAGCCGAGGAACTTGAGGAGGGCGGCGTTCTTGGCCACCTAAGCGGCGGTCGCGGACTGGGGCGAGGGGCGGGGGGGGGGCACGAGGACAACGAGGAACATCGGAGCTTCCAGTGCCTCTCCGCCCCTGGCGGTGCCCTCTGGCGGGGCCGCGTCGCCGCGGCTGGATTTTTCGTTGGGATCCAGGTTGGGTCTCGGGCCCACTTTGAGCGAGGATGGGTGATCCGGAGAAGGAGCATATTCTCGAAGGCAAGTCTCGGACAAGGAGGACGACGATGAGACCCTTATTTGATGTGCTTGCTTGTGGTTCCAATGTTTCTAGGGCAGCTGGCAAGAGGTATGGAGGCTTCTGGGAATGATGGGAGAAGAGGAGGGGAGGAGAAACAGGAGGAGACAAAACATATCAGGAGAGGGACTCGAAGGATGCAGAAGAGGGGGATGCAATAATCGTTTTTGCGTGGGACCTGGATAATTCTCTTCCGTACCCGTCGGGGCCGAAGATCCATCAGTCCGGCTGCATGTTTTCATGTCCTGGTGGTAGTTTGCTTAATTGTTGCGGTTGTTGCGTTTCTGTATGTCTGCTTTGCCTATGCCCGTACACACGCAATCCACTAGCTGACCTATGCATTGTACCATGCATAAGGCCTTCTGCCAACGGCGCCGAGTCCCCCTGGAAGAACATATGATTGCTCGAACAGTTGGGGGTGTGTTCGACGTTAGAGTTGCCGACCCCGTCGGGTACGTGAAGCTCCAAGCTGGGACTGGTCGGTCGCTGCTGCCCTTCATCTGGTCACCTACGAGGGAGGCCGCCAATGTTTTCGACACGATGGGCTCAAAACGGTGAATCGCAAGAATGCGGCGAGGGCCTGTTGAAATGTCACGGAATTCTGATCGGCCTGATGTTTCCTGTGGGTGTTCAAGCTTTCGGCTGAAGAGATGTCCAAGAGCGCCTCGCAAGAGTCAAATTGAGTCCACAAGGGCCGCAAGACGGTCCGTAGCCATGATGGCTCAAGCCTATCTCCTGAACTATTTATTTTGGGTGATTTCCATTCCCAATCTTGTCTTTCAAGATGGTAGCTGAAACTCTACCATCGAGCACTATCCACGATGTCAAAACGACGGGGCGCTCCTCGGGGGAAACTCGGCGCCGCTGGTCGAAACCCTTTACAATCCACTGGATGGCCCGTTTACTTCGTCGGAGTCAACTCGAGGTCTCCAGGGCGCCCCGAGACTCTGCTGGACTGGCACCAACGTCGCCGCCACCGTCTTCGTCGTCGTCGCTGCCGCACCTCCCCCTGAAAAATAACCCCAGAGCTGCCCATGGGTACAATCCGGGCAGAATGTCGAAACGAACCCAGCCGCGAAATTACTCCTGAAGGCCTAACAAAGGTCACCAAAACTGAAATCCTGGAGTCGTCGCCGTCGCCACTGCCGTTGCCGACGCCGGCGGGGGCCAGCAGCGTGAACAAAAGCGGCCCTCGTCGTCGTCGTCGTCGTCGTCGTCGTCGTGAAAGGCGTCGTCGTCGTGGTCGTCGTCGTCGTCGTCGTCGTCGCAATCGTTGTCGTCGTCATTGTCTTCGTCGTCGTCGTCGTGCTCGTGCTCGTGCTCGTGCTCGTCGTCGTCGTCGTCGGGCGAGCCGAGCTGGCCGCGTGCAGCGGCGTCGAGGAATTCTGGTTGCCCTGGTTGACGTCCGCCCGGGCCTCGGGAGGCGCCGGCGGCGGGCCGGCGGCCGCGCAATCAGGCTGCCGCGGTCGTCGTTGTCGTCGTCGTCGTCGTGGTCCTCGTTGTCGTCGTCGTCGTCGTCGGCGGCGTGGTCGTCGTGGTCGTGGTCGTGGTCGTGGTCGTGGTCGTGGTCGTCACTCTTGTCGTGTTCGTCGTCAATCTCGTTCTCGTTGGTGCCGTCGTCGTCCTCGCCGTCGTTCTCTGCAGACGTCCGCGGAGGCGTCGCGTCAAAGACCAGCCGAGCAGACAACGAAACCGAGACCAACCCATGTTACTGGAATTGGCGCTCCTCCCCCCCTTCCTTCTCCTCTTCTTCTTCTTCCTCCTCCTCCTTCTTCAAAATGCCCTCGTCCTTTTGCTCCCTCTCCTGTTCCACCTCCTTCTCCTCCTTCTCCTCCCTCGCAGGCCTTTCCCACTCCTGTGCCCCCTCTCCTCCTCTCTCCTCCTCCTCCCCACCTGCTCCTGCTCCTCCCCCTCCTCCGCCTCCTGCTCCTTCCTCCTCCACCTCCTCCTCCTCCGCCTCCTCCTCCTCCTACTCTCTCATCCTCCTCCTAGTCTTCCTCCTACGCCGACGCCGACGACGACGCCGACGACGACGCCGACGACAACGACGGCGCGTCGCAGCCTCGAGGAGAGCGATGGCCGCGGCCCTGGCGGCGCCCACACTGTGACCCGCGTCGAGCTCGCACGCCAGGTTCCTGCCGCCGCCGCTCATCCTCGACGTCGTCGCGGTCACGGTCGTCGCCGACGTGACCTCCACCGTCGTGGCCATCGTCGCCGTGGTAGCGGTCGCGGTCGTCGTAGGTATCGTCGCTGACCGCCAGCGTGGTGGCCATCGACGCCGTGGTCGCGGTCGTCGTCGGTATCGTCGCAACCGTCGTCGGCATCGTCGTGGTCTTGGTCGTCGTGGCGGTCGCGTCGCGGTCGTAGTCGTGGTGGTGGTCTTTGTTGGTTCACGCCAGTGTCTTCGCCCGCTGCTGCAGCTGCTCCTGCCGATGTCACCCGGCCGCGGCTCGCTCCCCCCCTCTGCTCGCTCGTCTTCGTCCGCCTCCTCCTGCCCCGCTCCTCTGTCGCGGTCCGGTGCTGCCGCCCCCCTCCCCCACCTGCCGCGTGGCCTGGCGGTCCACTTCGTGTCCGCCTGCCGCATCGGCAGGCCGCGAACGGCCGGCAGGAGGGCGCGGGCCTCCGCCACCCCGTTTGGGTGACCTGTGGTATAGGGCCAGAGACCTGGCACGTATCTCGCGACATCGAAGAGGAGGCCGCGGGCACACGAAGCGAGAGCTTCGACGGCGCAAGAAGCCCGAGACGGTCCAGGGGATCGGAAGGAAGCGGGCCCACCAGGGTAGAGAGGAGAGTACCCAAAAACATGCAATTCCAGTAGTGTGTAGGATCGCCGGCCCCAGTGGGGCAATCTAAGAGGCGCAACCAGTCTGTTGAAACCTACGCTGCGCCCGCCTGTTTTTCGTAGGCGTCCGAGCCGTGGCCAGCGCAAGGGTGACAGGCAAGAAGACAAGTGCAGCCTCGATGCCAGGCCGCACGATGGTATAAATGCGATAGCATTCGGTAAGGAAATATCTCAAGAGCCTGCCTAGAGGAGGAAAGCTGATACTCATCGGGGTCGCGCACATAGATATCGCAAGGGGGAATTTGCGCTTATTCCCAAGCCTCCCTTGGTTGGGTACTCGTTTTGAATAGAGCACTACGGTCGCGACTCCTCCTCCTTCTCCTTCTCCTTCTCCCGCTCTCCTCCCTCCTCCCTTCCGTCTCCTACCTCCTCTTCGCGGCGCCCTTCGAAACTGTCGACACTTTCGTGGGCTCCTGGGAGGTTCAGCGGAGGCACGTCTTACGCAGATCACCAATCGACTTCGCCGCCATCTTCGTGGGCTTCTGGGAGGGCCAGCGGAATTACGTCTTACGCGGACCACCACGAGACTTGTGTTGTCGGGCGGACCCACACAGGGCCAGAGTTGCAAACAAATTGAAGCATGCCAGAAACATGTCAGACATAATTGTTCCGAAAGACGGGGAAATCGACAGCAGGACTCTGCCCTTCCAAGCCACCTACATTACCACGCACATAGTACCTTTTACAAAACCACCAGAATACGGAGAACGCGTGCGCGTTTCGAATAGCGTGTGAACGTTTGAACAGGGCACGCACACGCACCAAAAATGAGTTGCAGGAGTGATGGGCGTTTCCGCTGGACATTGCCGTGGTCGTTGCAACGCCGTTGTCCGAACGTTCGGGCAGCGCTCGCTGTTTTCTCTGACGTCATGTGTTTGTCCTGCCTTGTAATGAATGAGAGAACGTCTGCGCCGAATCTTGGACCACAGTACAATGGCTCGCACACTAGAGCCCCGGCCACAGGGTGCATGGTGGACCGCGTGTCCCGCGCAAGCCGTGGTACGCGCTAGCCACCCGTGGATCCGCACGCTTGCCTCCAAAGGCATCGCTGCTTGGATCCTGGGGGGGGGGATCGCAGTAGACGTCAGTTGCCGCAGAAACAGGGCCGCCCCAGCGCGCGACCGGCCCAAGGTACACAAAATTGCTCAGCGCACGGATGCTCAAGCAGTGGGCACTCCCCTCTCGCGGATTCTATCGCGGAGCCATGCGCGCGAATGGCAACTGTTCCTTGGCGCTCCCATTAAAACCCCCGCGCGCCATTTCGAACAGACGAGGATAACGCGGGCACGCGCCACTTTGCTGTTTGACCCTCAGCCCGACACTGAAACACAATGTCACGATAGCGCAACTGATGCGCCAAACCCCGCAGAAGCACGCGAATCCCCGCGAACGCGCGCGCCCAACCTCGCGCAAACCGAAACGGTCCCACCTGGCTTCGCCAAACCGGGACAGGCCCTGCGAGGTAGGGCCCCAAGAGACCCCGAGAAGGGCCCCCTGCTTTCAAGATGGCGGCCCTCGTCCTTGACAGTAGGGAGGCTCCAAAAGGAGCCCTCTCTGGGCCCTCCAGGCGCCCTGGAAAGAAGCATTTGGGGACCAAAGATGCCTTCTAGGGCCCCGAGGGGAGCTAGCTCTTTGGAATTCTCTTGGCCTCATGGGGCCCTCCAGTGGCCTCCGCGACGGGGTGCGAGGGCACGGGGAAACCTCGGTGGGCCTTGAGTGCCCCCGAGTCACGCAATGCGCGCGGGGCAATATTGGGCCGCCGCGCGGGCCCCTTTTGGCGTCCATGGGATATGTTCGCGGCAGTGTTGAGCCAGACTTAGCGCTCTCCTCCTCGGGCCCTCCGAGGCTCTTGATACGGCGCCGGTGAATACGGGGGCGCGCGCGTCTTGCAAAACAACCAGGATGCAATTTCCCCCGGCTGCCAAACCGCTGCGTCTTTAAAGCTCCAATATTACAAGTTTTGAAACAACGATCGGTTTTGCAAAACACCAATCTTACAACTTCTGCTAACTGCCAAACCTACGAAATACCAAACATACTCATATATGATTCTCAGTGTGTTGTGACATGCACCCCTCTCAGGGCCTCCCCGAAGCCCCGCAAGAATTTCAAATAGGCCCCTGGACGGCTCAAGAGGGCCCCAAAAGGGCCCCGAAAGAAGCCCAATATTGCGCCCAGACGCCCGCAAAAAGAGGCACACTCGTGCACATAATTTGCGCCTCTTTGGGGGGCCCTCTTGGAACGCTCTTGGAGCCCTCTTGGAATCCTCCTGGGGCCTCTTGGGCCCTTTTTCTTGGGGCCCCGCCGAAGCCCCCCCGAAGTCCCGAATGAGCCCTCAGAGAGTTGAACGAGGCTCCAAGAGGCCCAAGGAGCGGCCCAAGAGGGCCCAAGGAGAACCCCCCAGTTGCACCCAAAAGGGCCCTTTGGGTGCCACTGTCGGGAGCCCTTCTTTGGACCCTCTTCTCTTGGGCCCTTCTTGGGCCCTTCCTTCTGGGACGCCTCCAGGGCCCCCCGCAACCCACTCCCGAAGTCCCGAACAAGCCCCGAAAAGGTGCAAACGCAGTCAAGTTCTCTGAACCCAGAGGGGACACCAAGAGATTTTGACCCAAAGGGCCCCCGCCCTGGACGGCCCAAGGAGATCCTTTGGAGCCCTCTCGGGCCGTCTGGGGGCCCACTCTGAATTTCTGGTGGGCTTCGGGAAGGCCCCCGAGAGGAGAGGGCCCCCGGAGGATGGATTCCTTTGGCGGGTGGCGTCTCGGGCTTCCCTTCTGGCCCTTCTGGATCCCTTTGGCGGGGACCCCCGCGAGGAGGGCTGGCGTCGACGCGTTTCCCTGGGCCAACCTGGACCTGCTTTGCAAACCAATCGGCGGCGGCACAACATCCGAATACAGAGAAAATCGCACTGGACTGGCATGCCAAATATCTCTCGCCTCGCGAAAGATAATTGGCACGCTCCTCCAATACGGGAAACACACCTACTGATATGGATACATATATATATATACACAACAACTGTGCGCACAACACATATATGTTTCTGTATATATGGTTTGCATTTTTCGTGTATTCATAAAAACTGTGTTTTGGATATGTTTTCGCAATCGAATGTTTGTGCCAACGGGCCTCCTGTCTGGGCCAACCGACGACATAACACGGGAGCTCGCCGCCCCCTGGGTGGCTGCGCTTTGCGAAACCATCGCCACTTTCGTGGGCTTCTGTCGCCGCCCGTGGGGGGCTGCGATCTGCGAAACTGTCGCCACGTTCGTGGGCCTCTGGGAGGGCCGGCGGAATGACATCTTACGCGGATCACCACGAGACCTCGCCGCACCCTGCGGGGGTGCGATCTGCGAAACTGTCGCCACTTTCGTGGGCTTGTGGGAGGGCCAGCGGACTGATGTATTACGCGGATCACCACGAGACCTCGCCGCCTCCTGGGGAGCCGCGATCAGCGACACTGTCGCCACTTTCGCGACAGTCGGGCAGCCTCCTGCTGACACGCGATCCATGCCTTGACCTTCTGTCTTGGGGGCCACCGCCGGACCTGGCAGCTCGCCTGCGGACTTTCGGCGCCCGTGCGGAGCGCTGCCGGAAAGAGGCTGTAAAGTTGGCGCACGGGCTAGGCCTGGCCAAGTTCCTGCATGACTGACCGCGGCACCCGCCTGCCGTGGCAGCCACGCTCCTGCGCATTTTCGGCGACGCTTCAATTGCGAGATCGGCCGCGCCGCCAGCTGGCGGCGACCACTTACGTATAAAAGAGCAGGAGCTCCCATAGCGCGCGGCGCTGTCCCGCCACGTAGCGCGCGGCGCTGTTTGATCGCAGATCGCAGCGGGATGCGGCGCCACGGACCGCATGGCGCTGGTTTTTGTCCATGCCGCACCCCCTTTTCAGTTGCCTCTTGTCCGCACTGGTTAGCGCGGGGCGCTGTTCTGCCGCAGCGCGCAAGGCGCTGTTCTGCAATGCGAACATGGCGCGATGTGATGTCCTCCCACGAAGTATATTTCCAATCGCCCCTCCACATTGTGTTTCCACGCTCCCTCGTGGCCGCCTCTTTGGCGAATCGCTCAAGGGCGCGGCGAATCCTTCGGTGCTCGTTTTTGTATTGAGCGGTCCGATGTATAGTCGCCTCGTGTGTACAAAAGTTTGGGCACGTCCTCGGGTATTTTTTCCGAGCGGGGCTCGCGGCGGGAAAAACTCAGATATTGTTATTAATGTAGCTGTCGGGCCTCTGGGAGGTCAAACGGACATCATTTCTGAGAGCTGGGGGGATGCGTCGTCCGTGGAATGCTTCTTCCAACCGTTGGCAGAGTGCTGGGGTCTTCCAGGGCTCGGCAGAGGATGTTTCGCGGGTGTATGCCGCCATGCGTCGATGCCTCCCTGGCGCTCCCTTCAGGAGCGCCAGCGACTCTTGCCATTCGAACGTTGCGGTGGCTGCTCTGGTTCTGGCCGCCATGCAAACAGCAGGATGAGGAGAGATGCGTGCTCCCCCGCACTCCTCACGCCGATGCCAGTCGCATCTCGTGATCGCACAGTGTGGCATATGACATTCCCTGGCCAACATCGCCGACTCGAAAAGGGGAAGGCCGACTGGCGCAAGCACGACTTCGGCGATGTAAGACATCATCGAAAGTGCTCGAGTGATGTACAAGTTGGCCGAAACACTTGAGGCTGCGCGAACAGCCGAGAACTCAAACAATTGTCAACGAACTTTCTTGATGGGGGGCAATCCATTTTTTCTGAGTCGGGTCCGATCAACATCCGAAGGTACTTGATTTGCGGGGGGATCTTGGAAGCGGCACAGGAGGGAATCAACGCGCGGGGCCACGGTACAACTCTGCCAGCACCTCAGGAAACGGACCGGCAATGGGGAGAACCTGAACTTTGCAGATCTCCTGGCCGAGCGCGGCGAACTGCCCTGCTAGCGTGAAGATGCGGAACAGCATGACCAGATGGGCGAGCTTCGTGAGGGTCTTGCCAATGTCCTCGGCCCAACCATCCCACGTCGTTTGACGTCTATGCCGTGGTCAAAATCGCAGACAAACGCGTTTCTGTGCATGTGGCGAGCAAGGTTCCAGAGGCAGGGCGTTTGGGAAACGCATTAAAAACATACCCCCAACTTCGCAGAAGCAGGCCACACTATGGTACAGGATCGTTGAGAAGTCAGCCAACGCTGCTGGGAGATGGCCCGCTTCCAAAGTCACGCACGTCCAACGGTACGAGACCGACGGTGAGGCCTGCGCGACATCAATGGCCACGACGGCCAGCAAGCCCTTGCTTGCTTCAAGGCACATCCAGTAGGCGCTGACATACACATCTAACTCGAAAATGCTGGTGCTAAACTGCCGTTCCTGGATGCAGCCCCTTTGCAACACATCAGCTGCCGCAGAACATGATGGTCGAGGTGCTGATTTTGTTGTCCGTGTTCATCAGGCCGGTGGGGTCTAAATGATCGCAGTTTTGCGCGCATCCCCCACCTTCGAAAGTCCTCCTTCCCTCCTTCAATTCGAATGCGCCCAGTAGATGGTCGAATGCCCAAAATGCCGATCCCCCTTCAAAAAGCCCAAACAACATGTCGGACAGAACGTCGATCATTTTTGGGAGATTGTTGCCAGGCAATCCACGGCAAGCAGTCGGGTCCTGGCGAGCTGCGGGGCTGACGCCTGGGCGCTGAGGCCAGATGTTCGCGATGAATTTATGGATGCGCTGCGCGGCCAGGTGTTCAGGCGCGTTCTTCGGCGAACCAATATTTCCCCAGTGCTCGCGGACAGCGCTGCTGATTTCCGTGGGGCCAAGGAGAAGCTGCCACTGCGGCGAATGAGCGCCTCGGACATACAGCCGACGGTCGAAACGGGGCGCCGTCAGGGGCTCCAGAAAGGGACCAAATTGAATTTTCATTCCCAACAAGCCTGTTGTTGGGTCCTCGTTTTGAAGAGACAGCGCCCCGTGTCTCCTCTCCTCTCCTCTCCTCTGCTGCCCCCTCCTCCTTCCTCCTCCCTCTCCTCCTCGCGCCCGTGCCTCTGCCCTTTGCGCGCCCACCATTCCAGCGCGCCCAGCACGGCGCTTCGCGGCCCAATGAAGGCCCCATCGGCTGCGATCGCATGCGTCCCGCTCCACCGAGCTCGGGGGTTCGCGGCCTCACGGGGAGCTCCGCCGACTACCCCAGTGGCTGTGATCTCGGAAGCAACGCCGAAGGTCCCACTGGCTGTGATCACGTGCGTCCCGCCCCACAGGGAGCTCCACCGAAGGCCCCAATGGCTGTGATGACGTGCGTCCCGCGCCGCCCGGTAGTGCGTTTCGTGGCCCATATGGGGGCCCCACTGAAGGCCCTGGTGTTTGTGACCACATGCGCTTCGCGCCACCCAGCACGGCGCTTCGCGGCCCCGTGGGGAGCTCAACCGAAGGCCCCAGTGGCTGTGATCATATGCGTCTCGAGCCACGCAGCAGGGCGTTTCGTGGCCCCATCAAGGGGCTCCACTGGGGGCCCCATTGGCTGTGATCACATGCGCCCTGCGGCACCCGGCACGGCTTTTCGCGGCCCCACAGTGAGCTCCACCAAGGGCCCCAATGGCTGTGATCACATGCGCCCCGCGCCACCCAGCACGACGTTTCGCGGCCCCAGATGGAGCTCCACCGACGGCCCCAAAGGCTTTGAAAATATACGTCCCGCGCTACCGTGCACAGCGCTTCGTGGCCCCATGGGGAGCTCCAACGAAGGCCCCAGCGGCTGGGCTCACATGCATCCCGCGCCGCCAAGTTCGGCGCTTCGCGGCCCCATGCGGAGCTCCACCGAAGGCCCCGATGGCTGTGATCACATGCGCCCCGCGCCACCCGGCGCTTCGTGGCCCCGGGGAGCTCCGCCGGAGGCCCCAGTGGCTGTGATCTCATGCGTACCGCGCCACCCAGCACGACGGCCCCAGTGGCTGTGATCACGCGCGCGCCCCCCGCTCATTTCGGCGCACCCCTCGCGCGCTTCGCGGCCCCATGCGGGGCTCCGCCGACGGCCCCAGTGGCGACGTTCGCACGCGCCCCCCCTCTCCCCCGACCACTGCAGCATGCGCGATTCGTGGCCCCATAGGGAGCTCCACCGAAGGCCCCAGTGGCGACGTTCGCATGGCGGCCCCGCTGCATTTCGGCGCGCAACTCGCGCCTTTCGCTGCCCGATATGGAGCGCTACCGAAAGCTCCAATGGCTGCGTTCGCATGCGCCAGTTTGGCACACCCTTCAGCTGCGAGTTCCGTGCCAGTTCCGTGTGTTGGAGCGTGTTCCTCCCCCTCCTGCTCCTACTGCCGCTGCGAGGGATCCACATCGCTGGGCGCATATGTCGGGCTTCTGGCGTTGCAGAGTCTGTTTGAAGGGTACTATTCACTCTGTCCCTGTCGCTGGGTCGTGCAGAGGCCATAGCAGACTCGACAGTGTTGTTTTGGATCGGCTCCAGCACCGTGTTCTCGCGCTGGAAGCCAGCGACAATTCGCATAGTTTCTTTTGCCTCAAGTGTCGGTCGTACTCGTCTGGTGCTCAGGTGTGCAACTTGGGCAAAGCCTGCAAACCGCCGACCACCACAGGCAATCGCAACTGGAACAAAATCAGGCAGGGGAAGCACCCCGACAAGGCGGGTGTGACTCTTGATTTGGACCTGGTTAAAACCTTGTTCCAATAATTTTATTCAGCCGCTGCAGTCTCAGCCTCCAGTCTGCAGCATCGTTTGAGGCGCCGTGGATGGCAAAAAAAGAAGAGGAGGAGGAGGAGGAGGAGGAGGAGGAGGAGGGAGGTCCCTCGAGGACCACGGCGCGCCGCGCTGCGGCCCGGCCGAGGCCTGGCCCGCGACTCCCTGCCGCCCGCGCAGCCGCGCGCGCGCGCGTCTCCAGAGCGCCGTCTCGCCGCTGGCCGTCTGCGCCGCCACGTCCGCGCGGCGCTCCACGAGGAGCGGCACCGCCTGCGTGCGGTCGGGCGGGCCGCACCCCAGGCCTTGGTCGGTGGCCGCCGGCTCTTCGGCAGCGGCCCCTTCGGCGGGCCCTCGGGATCCAGCGGGCCTTCCAGGCGGCCTCCTCGGCGGCCCCCTCGGCGGCGCTCCCTCGAGAGGCCCTCGGCGGGCCCCTTAGGCAGGGTCGTCCGCGTCGTCGTCGGGGGCCGCCGCCGTCGTCGTCGTCGTCGTCGCCGAGGGCCGCCGTGGCCTCCGACGACGACGTCGCAGGGCGCCCTCGCCGTCAGCTGCGTCGTCGTCGAGGGCCGTCGACGTTGCCGGCGCGCGGGCGACTGCCTCCCGCTCCCCCCTCCCTCCTCCCTCCTCGTCGCTCCTCCTTCTCCTGCCTCCTCCTCCTCCCCCTCAGTTCTCCTGCTCCTCCTGCTGCTCCGCCTACCTCCTCCTTCTCCGCATCCTCCTTCTCCTTCCTGCGTCTCACCTCCCCTCTCCTCTCCTTCCCTCTTTCCCCCTCCCATCTCCCCCACCTTCCCCCTCCCTGTTCCATCTACCTCCTTCTCCTTCATCCCTTCTCCTCGCTCCTCCTTCTCCTTCGCCTCCCTAATCCTCCTCCCCCTCGCACGCAGCCGCACGCCGCGTATCTATCCTCACCGCGCTTGCGCCCGACCGCCCCGCAGTGAAACGCGGGCCCGAGAGCTTGAAGAGGAGGCCAGAGCGGGCGAGAGGGCGCCTGGCAGCTCAAACCGAACCTGCGCAAGATAGTGGAAGAGAAACGCATCAGCAGTAACATCAAGGATGTTGGCGCGAGGGGGACAACAAACAACAGCAGCAACAACAACACTCAATTTTAGCCTGTTCGCTCCGAACTGCCCGCGTGCCATCCAAGACGTATATCCCAACCCTCGGTACCCGCCCTTTTTGTCTTCGATCGTCCCCCCTTGGGGGTATATCTTCCCTACCTGCCGCGTGTAGTTGGCGCAACCCCTAAAACAGGGGAAGGAGGGGAGGAGTGAAGAAACAAGGGGGAGGGAGAAGGATGCAGTACGAGAGAGACTTGCAGGAGGGGGGGGTAGGAGCAGGAGCAGGAGCGGCAGAACCAAACCTCCTCATCCTCCTTTTCCTCGTCTTCCTTCCTCATCCTCCCTGTCTTCCTGCTCATCCTCCTGCTTACCCGCCACCTCCTCTTCCTCCTTCTACTACGCACGCAGCTTCTGATTGCGCGTCATATGATGGGTTTTTCTAAGAAGTCCAGGTCGGCTATGACACGCGTTCGTGGATAGAGACAAATCATCACCATGGTGAGGGATGCGATGGAGGTGTAGGCTGGCAGATGTGGCGCGAGGGCACCTCGCTTGTCTTACGCCTTCCCGCCTCCCTCCGACGCTCCCCTCCCTTGCAAACTCTCTCGCTTCCCTCCCTCGCTTCCCTCCCCCGCTTCGCCTCCCACCCCCTTCCCTCCGGCGGGCTGGAGGAGGGGGAGGCCTGTGGGTTGCCCCACTGCCCGCACAGGATCAGCGCCTCGGGAACGCGCCCCGCCCCCCCCCCCCCCATCGCAAACCCGCAAGAAAGGCGCGCGGGCCGGGTCCTCGGGCCGGCGGCGGGGGAGGCTGTGGGATGAGGAAGGGGATATGGGATGATGGTGATGGGGAGTTTTTTTTGAGCGAGTGGGATGAATAGGAGAATGTGGGATGAGCGGGGGGACGAGCAAAGAGGAGGAGGGAGAGGAAGAGGAGAAGGAGGAGTCGGAGGAGGACGAGGAGGATTAGGATGAGTTGAAGAAGAAGTATGAGAAGGAGGAGGAAGAGGAGGAGGATGAGGAGGAGGAGGAGGAGCAGCCAGGCTGCATCTCATCGAGATCCTGGAGGGGAGGAGGATGAGGAGAAGGAGGAGAAGGAGGAGGAGGAGGAGGAGGAGGAGGACGAGGAGGAGTAGGACTAGGGATCCTCCTCTTTACTTCGACTACCGTGGACTAGGTTATTCTTGCCCAGTGGGGCCACTGTTCTTGTCATGTCTCGCTGTGCTACCTTATCTGCACCAGTCCGCGGCTTGATTTGTTCTGCTCGCGTCGTCCAAATCGACTGATGTTTTTCACCGCCGGGGCACGCTGCATCCCAACAGCGGAGGTTGGTCTAGCGTTGTAACGTGAATATTGTGGCAAAGGGTTGGAACTGATAGTTCGGTCCAAGCTCAAAAAGTCAATCTAAAATTCGCCAGGGAAGTTCGGACAAAATTCCAAAAACGCTCACAAACAGCAGCGGTGCTTCCGACCCCCCGCCGCCTCGCCCTCGCGGAGCCTGTTTCACGGGCCCCCCCGGCGCGCGCCATAAGGGCCCACCTTTGTACAGCGCCCTCTTCTGCGGGAAGCCAGAGCGCGCGAGGCTGTCGACAACTCAGCGTCGGGGGCATCCAGGAACCGGCACCACCAGGGCGAGGCGGCGGAGAAGTCAGACTCGGCGCTATTGACTCTTGGACCCAAGCAATCTTTTTCAGATTTTCGAATCAACGTCCCCCCCAACCAATTCCTCGCCCCCCTCCACCCCGCCCCTTGCCTTTCTCAAACCAAATTACGGCCTGGCCCTCGTCCACCTCGCAGTTTTCGCATCCGTCATTTTACCTATCGTGTTGCCCTACTTCCCACGCAACATGGCGCAGCCTGGGCGCTGCCTAAGCTTCATGCGGGATTCCGCAGGGATTCCCGCAGGACTGCTGAGGATTCCTGGGCCCCCCTGGGGAGTCCCAAGGAGTCGTGGGGATTCCAGAAAGGATTCCTTGGGATTCCCAGGAACTCCTGCAAGTCACGAAAGATTCCAGACCGTCTATCAAGATTCGCAAGGGTCCCTGACGATTCCTGATGGATCCCTGAACTATCCCTGAAGGATTCCACAAAGAAACCTCCATATTATTGAGAATTCCTGAGAATTCCCCACGCATTTCAGAGGTGCCCTGCAGGCGTCCGGAGGATTGCCGAAGATTCCTGAGGGCTCCTCAAGAACCCTGGGGATTCCTGAACGTTCCTGGGGTTTCCCTGGGGGGGGCACAGGTATCCCTGAAGGATGTCTGCAATAAGCTTAAGGAGTCTGATGAGTCCTGAGGGCCCCGAATAATTCCTTATGGATTTGCATGGCCCCTCGAAGATTCCCGAAGATACCTCTGGGATTCTGCTGGATTCTCTGCCTTCATCCCCGGTTCGAAACGAATGAGGGGCGTTTAGACTCCCCACCCCTCAATACAAACTGATGTTGAACTTTGTTGGAGCGTTGTTTGAGTTGTGTTGGAGCTTTGTTTGAGCTGTGTTTGAATTTTGTTTGAGCTTTGGTTGAGCTTGTTTGCGCATGGTTCGCGCTTTGTTGTAGCTTTGTTGGAGCCTCGCTTCAGATTAGTGTGAGCTGTGTTTAGCGTTGTTTGAATAATGCTTGGTCTGAGTTGAGCTTTGTTAGAGCTTCGTGTGGGCTTTGTGGGAGCTTTGTTTGAGCTGTGTTTTAGGGTTGTCTGAACTTAGCTTGCTTTGTTGGAGCTTTGTTTGAACTTTGATGGAGATACGTTTAATACTCAATTGAGCTTTGCTTGAGCTTTTTTTGAGCCGTGTTTGGGCGAAGTTTGGGCTACGTTTGAGCTTTGTTTGAGCTTTTGTGTGAATTTTGTTTGAGCTTGCGGCGAAGACAGGGACGACGGCGATGACGACGACGGAATCGGCGACGGCAACGGCGGTGGCGACGGGTGGGGCACTAAATGCAACCTGCACTCGGCAATGGAACAATATTGGGGGAACGTGTATCAGAACCACCATAGCCGCCTGTCGGGCGGGCGGGACATTAAATATTCGATTCGCTCAGTGATGGGGCGTCCAATCGGGCGGGCGGACGGGACAGTAAATGCAACCTTCACTCTTTGATAGGATAAGGTTGGGGGAGAATCTATCACAACCATCGAAGACGCGGGTCGAGTGGGAGGGGCATTCAATGAAACCTCCGCCATCATCATCATCATCATCATCATCATCATCATCACAATCAGCATCATCATCATCATCATCATCATCATCATCATATCCACCACCATCATGGTCATTGTCGTCATCATCATCGTCACCATCATCGTCATCATCATCACCATCATCACCATCACCATCAACATCATCACAATCAGCATCATCATCAGCATCATCATCATCATCATCATCATAATCGTCATCATGATCAGCATCATCATCATCATCATCATCATCATCATCATCATCATCATCATCATCATCATCATCATCATCATCGTCGCTGGCAGCCCTTGACGGCCTTAGAGGCCCCCGTATGTGCCCAGGGGGAGGGGCAGGTGCGAGAAAGGCGACGTCGTGCGCTACCATACGATATGCGCTCTTCTTGCCTCGCTTGCCGCGCCCGCCCGCGCTGGCTCGAGCCTCGATTGAGCTCTGTGACAGCTTTCTTGGAGCTTCGTTTGAACTTTGTTTGACATCTGTTTGAAATGTATCTGAACTGTGCTTGAGCAGTACACCCTGCGAAATGCTTAAGAAATCATGGGTTAAGAAATTCATAGTCTCAGAACTTGAATAAAACCCAGAACTTCTATAAAAATCTTGGGATTTACATTGAAAAGTTAAGAATAATCGAGACTCTGGACGAAAACTTAGGTTTTCTTAAGCATCGCCTAAGGTGTACCTGAACTTTGTGGCCCTCCCCCCCGGTCCGACCCCCACCGTGGGGGAGAAACCGGCCCGACCTCCCAAGTTCGAGTTCAGACCGTGGGGAAGCGCGCGCCGCTCGGCGTCTTCGATCCAGACGCCGTCGTCGGTTTCGTCTTCGTCGTCGTTTCGTCCCCATCCCCGGGTTCGAGCTGGGAGGGGGGGGTGTTCCTGAATTTGACCCTCCCCCCCTGGGTCGAAGGCGCGGGGAGGGGCTTGCCAGTAACGGTAGACAGCGATACGATGTCGACGACGGCAAGGTGGGGGCGATACGATGATGATGGTGATGAGTGTGAAGACAATGGTGATGACAACGGCGGTAAAAGCCATGACGCCGGCGATGCTGATGACGATCGTGCTGGTGGTGAGGAAGCGCCTGCGCTTTGAACGTTGACGAGGACGACAACATCTCTGATGATGACGATGGCCGCGGCGGCGGCGGTGACCCCAACGATGGTGATGGTGATGGTGATGATGATGATGGTGGTGACCCTGACGATGATGGTAACGATGGTGCTGATGATGATTACGAAAAAGTGCGCGCCGGCAGGGACGCAGGGACTCAGACGTCCTGGCATGTTTGTTGAGAGGCATTGGGGCTTCGCATGCCTTTGAACAGTCGAGTGGCCGATGTAGTATTGTAGTTGTGTTGACAGGGTTGGTTAACGCTTGATGATTGAACTATTTCGACATGCGCGCGCAAGTGGTCCGCATGGCCTCACTTAGCAGAACTGCTGAAACCTGTGGCAGCTAGCGCACAAATTCCTTGCATGTTCTATGTTAAAACACCGTTGCCTTGATATACAAGATTTACAATCACCTTTTTATATATACATATATATAACGCATGTTGAACCACCCTGTCTTGAACAGGAGAAAACACTGGTGTTTGACTGGTGTCGACGTGCGCCCGCTGCGACGCCCGCGTGTGGCCAGCATTTTTTCATTTGACCGCGCAGGTGTGCGCTTGCTGATGGTGGAATGTGTTTGGCATTTGCGCGCCCGCACGGCCTCACTTGCCAGAATAGCTGCAAACCTACGTTTTCCTTAGGGCTCCAGCGAGTGCGCACGCGCAAAACTCCACCAGCGTTCTGCATGAAGACAATGTCATGTTGATAGTGTTTGAATGGCCATGTGTTGGGCGTGCAAACAAAACAATGTATGTCGGCTGGCTTTGTCGTGCACGCGAATCCACAAACACTGTTTAGTTCAACACGTGTGCACCGTATGATGCGGTTTTCAGGAGATGGCGGGATGATGTCGATACTTGGCCGGGATGGTAACATCTGAAATTCCGAATGAACGATCGTGCACAAAATATACGAACAATAAATAATTCGCGGAAGAGAGAGAAGGCCGATAACCTCGATCTTGGCGTGGGAGGTAGAATCTGATGATTGCACTTGCACGAAAAAATGCAGGTTCTAGGCTCCGTGTGGACGGGCGACGGGCTGATGAGGAAGGAAGATGTCGAGGTTGATGGAACTGAGGACGAGAGAGAAAAAGCAAAGGAGGAAGGATGGCGGGGTATGAGGAGACAAAGGGATATCCTAGGGGTGTTTAGGAAATCGCGCGCTGCATTACGAGATTGTTGTGTGTCTGGGGGCTTTGAATTAGGAGGATGAGGCGGAGGAGAAGGCGGAGAAGGGAGAGGTTGAGGATGACGAGGAATGGTGTTCGATGATTTCGAGGCGGATTTTTTCTAGATGTACGGCTACGTAGGTGGATGGCGGGAAGAGAAGGGAAGGAAAGGGAGGAGGGAAAGGAATCGCAGGAACGTCGGGGAGGATGACGACGATGCCGAGGATGAATGGATAAACGGATCCGCGATGGATGAACCCAGACTTCCGATTTATGTTTTTCCAAACCATCCTGTGGTGTTGGGTCCTCGTTTTGAAGAGACAGCGCCCCGCGTCTCCTCCTCCTCTCCTCTCCTCTCCTCTCCTCTCCTCTCCTCTCCTCTCCTCTCCTCCTCCTCCCCCTCCTCCCTCCTCCCGTCCGCCTCGTCACCTCCCTGCGTTTCACCTACCCAGTACAGCGTTCCGTGGCCCCATATGGAACTCCACTGAAGGCTCCAGTGGCACAGGCCGCATGAGCCAACGCCACCTAGGACAACGCTCCGAGGCCCCATAGGGAGCTCCACCGAAACCGGTACACACAATGCGGTATTCGCAGCCGCATATGGCTGGGTCCTTCGCCAGGCTAATGTCAATCCGCGTGCCCCAGAAGTCTCGATCCCTTCCACGCGGGCAATTTTTCCATCCGTCATCCATGTTTGGTCATCGAGAGGACCTGCCCGCCGAGGTCGAAATAGAGGAACAACGCCCCGATTGGACGACAACAACAATCCTTTTCTCCGAAGTCCAGGGACGGATCCGCCGACCGATCGGCGATGGGGCCCCGAGTGCTGTCGGGAGCGGCAACGAACTCCAGTTGAAGAAGGCCTGTGCCCTCGGTATCTCTACTATTGAAATGTTCGAGCGGGGTCACACACGCGACACCGACCATGTGCAGCGAACCATTGTGACAATCTCTGGCGCTGGCCCGAGGCTCCCCCATAGAGGAACAAGGAACAACATAGAAACGCAAACGTTCAGAGGTCCGCGCGGATTTCTTGGATCGGCGCTGGGCCACCCTCCCTTGCGCGCCAGGGTCGGCGCCAGAGGCGCAGTCAGGGCGGGCCCAGCGCAAATCAAAGCAATCACAGCGGATGTTATCAAATGTTCTTTCTTCTCCTCCAAAGAATAGTCGGGGGGATGGAGCGGTGGGGTGGAGGCAAGCAGTGGCATTTAAGACAAATCGCTCTACACGCCCCCTGGAAGAAGAAACTGTCAGCATCCAGCTGGGTTTGTTCACTAGCCCCACCTTGAGATAACTCCCCTCCTGAGACTCCCGACATCGTGACTTTTTCGTAACTGGGACCGCTACAGGTCTGGAGTCCCTTCCTGGGGACTCCCTTTTCATCTTGAGTCGCTTTTGCTGACGGCCCCGACGGGAAGGGCCCCCGAAGCCGAAAACAGCGGGAACCCTTGCCTCGACACGAACATGTCACGGTCCTGGGGTCAAAAATCTACTCCCTGACCTGTTCAAGGCTCAGAGGTGCGGTTGGACCCGCCTTTCGAGGCGGATCTTGTAGTGGCGACGAGAAGCTCCCCAGAGGTCTGGACAAAGGCATTAAAAAAACCCTGAGGCCGAAAACTCTTCTGTTGTTCTTTGGTCACGGCGCGGAGGGGTGACAAAATAACAGGAGGAGGAGGAAGAGGAGGAGGAGGAGAGAGGAGGAGAGAGGAGGAGGAGGAGGAGGAGGAGGAGGAGGAGGAGGAGGAGGAGGAGAGAGAAGGAGAGAGGAGGAGAGAGGAGGAGGAGGAGGAGGAGGAGGAGGAGGAGGAGGAGGAGGAGGAGGAGGAGGAGGAGGAGGAGGGGAAGGAAGGGGAGGAGGAGGAGGAGGAGGAGGAGGAGGAGGAGGAGGAGGAGGAGGAGGAAGGCCTCCGAGCCCCCGAGATAAGGCCCACGCCGTGGCCCCCTCCTCCACCGGCCTCTCCAGCACGCCCACCGGCAGGGCCTCGCGATCGCCCAGGGCGCGCGCCCGCCGCCGCAGCCCCCCCCCCTCAAAGGGTTCGCGGAGCGAGGACTGGGGCCCGCCTGGCTCGAGAGGCCTGGGGATCGAGGTCCGCGGTTCCACGACCGAGCTAAGACGAAGCCAGGACGAGGATAAACCGGGAACCTCTGAGATCTGGCGGCCCTGGAGGACGTCTCGGGCGCCGCGGCCTCCTCAGAGCGTTCTGGAACGCTCTGGAACGGATTTATCCTGGTCCTAGCCCCGTCCGACGAGCCTTGAGAATGTAATTAGCACGCTCCTTGCGCGTCTCTTGCCTGCTCTGTGGCTTGCGGACCTCCAGCCGCCCTTTGCAACACGCGCCCGCCGAGAGGGCATCCGCGCAATTCCTTAACCAACGCCCCGCCACCGCATTTCTTTCGCAGCGAAGATCAGTTCCGTTTCCACCGCGGACGCTCCACCGGCAGCCGACAGCCGTGCGCCACTCTCGCATATGCCGTGGCCACCGTCCGAGGCCACGCCGCGGTCCACGGAGGAGTAGTGAGGGAGAGGAGGAGGAGGCGGGCAAGGAGGAGAAGGGGCCCGGGTGCAGTGCGGAGCTCCTCCACAAACGCGAGAGGGGCCGCGTCCTTGAGAGACTTGACGAACAACACGAAAACATCGACATGGCGAAGCAGGTGCAACGTCGCGAGACATCACGACTGGAACGCCAAGAGGCCCCCCCTGAGGGTCCCGACGCCGGGCGACGGCGCCTGGTGTGAAACCGTGGCGGCGAACGGACCCGGGGAGAACTGGCCTCTCGGGTCAGAGCTCGGCTCTCTGGCAGCTGTTCGGGAAACTTCGGCTTCCCCCAACACGCTTTCGTGCCCTTTTTTTCCTTCCTGGATAACGGTGGTTACCCCAGGGGGGGGGGGGGTCGTCGGGCGGGAGGGTAACGGTATCGGCCGCGGCGTGCACACGCCAGGGTGCGTCCGCGCCACTGGCGCAGCAATCGCCCGTGCACCAAAGCATGCAGGGGGGGGGGGGTCCGGGTAAGAAGCGCTAGCCTGGGGAGGAAAAAGAACGCTCCTCGGCGAGGCGCAGCTGCCAAAGAACCTTATCCTGCATCTTCGGGGGACCTTGTCTGTCTCGTCGCGCCGCGATCCACGTCGAATCCGTGTCGACTCCGTGTCGAACGCGTCGAAGCCGTATCGAATCCATGTCGAATCCGCGTCGGATCCGCGCCATATCCGCGTCGAGCCCGCATCGAACCCGGTTCGGGCACAAGAAGAGACACCACTTTTAGGGACAGACGAGGTTCCCCGAAGATGGAACGTAGAGAAACCACGACAAGCCCGAACACATCGACCATCGACTTCGAAAGATAGAGGCCTCCTAGATGGGGTCCGAATAGATGGGGTCGGAGGATCTCGCCGCATCGCCGATACATCGGCGATGCATCGGCGATGCGTTGGCGATGCATCGGCGATGCACCAGCGATGCATCGTCGACGCGGGCGATGCATCGGCGCCGTCGACGTGAAGCAAATCGGGCTCTGCATCGAGCCGCATCGGCGATACATCGGCGATGCGGCGCGATCCTCCGACCCCGCCTGCTCCGACCCCGGCTGGGAGGCCTCGCAGAAGACCACGTCGTCGCACGGATCTCTCGCAGAGGCCCGGGCCGCCTGGGGGGGCGGGGGCGGGGCGGGGCGGCCGCGGAGCCCGGGGGGCAGAGGCCTCGGGTAGTGTTAGGTCGGGCATGTCCCCCTAGAGGCGGATTTTGGGCGACAAATTCAACACACTCAAACCATATGTTTGAAATACCGAAACGTAATCACTGAATCGTCCCCACACTATGTCTGGACTGTCTTTGAATACTCCTCCTGTAGAGGGACGTGCCCGATTTTTTGGGGCAGTGGCCTGCGAGAGCGCCGCATCGCAGCCACGTGTGCTCTTCCGCTCCCCCGGCCGACGATGGGATTTTCTTCCAGCGCGCAGCCCCAGGAGGTGCCGATCCCTCTCGGGCATGGGCGGGACTGTTCGGTGGCAGCTCGTGGGAGCTTCCCCAACCACCTGTCGACTCTTGCGAAGCGACGCTAATCGACGCTAGTTGAGGCGAGTCGACGCCACATCGACGCTACTCGACGCTGTCATACGCTAAGTCGGCGCTATCCCATCGACTCCCAGACGCTAATCGGCGCTAGTCGACGCGAAAGGCGGAATCAAGAGGGTATACCAGGCTCCCATGAGTTGCTACCGAAAGACTGGGTTAAGTTGGACCTGGTTTAGAGATGGGTGCCTGGGGACGCCTTCCCCGCTCCAGCGCACGAACCGGCACTTCCGTCACACGAAAGACACAAGCTACGGCAGACCTGGTTCAACGATTCTAGCATGCGTTATGGCTTCGGGGATCACTGACCGGGTCCCCTTATCTGGGCCCTGGCTCCACCCGACCCTCTTCCAGGGCCCGATCACGGACTGGATCAGTCACACCGTTGGAGAACTCAGCCCGAGTCGGGGCCTCAGGAGCCGCGCGCCTGAAAGACATCACATCTCGGCTGCACGCGCGAGGCGACCCTGGGCAGGATGGGGCTCGTGGTGCGCGGCTGGCCGACTCGGCCTCACGTGAGGGTGACCCCGGGCAACTGGCCGACTGGTCGTTGCGTGCGGTGCGACAGTGGCGGCCTGCGTGCTTGGACTTGGCCCCGCAGCGCGCCCAGAAGGCCGCGCACCAAAGGTCACTCCAGCGAAGGGTCACCCTCTCTGTGAGATTCTCTGCACTTCCGCAGACTAATGTGTGGCGACGGTGCCGCCTCAAGCTGCACTGGATGCGAAATGCCGAAGCTGGTGATCTGTGTTTTGGCGACGGCGCCTGGGGTAAACCACTGAGTGCCCTCGGTGCTCTAATGGCCTGCATGAGACTCGCTCGCCAGCGCAGGCCTACGTTTCGCATGGTCTGGTTTGGCGGTGACGTCGTCAAGAGCTGCCCCACTTCATGAAGTAAACCAGACATCACAGAGTCCACGGAGCTTCCCAAGAAGTCCCCCAAAGGCCCTCCTACAGAGGCCAAGAGGCCCCCAAGAGAGCCCCAAGAAGGCCTTCGCCCCCCCTTCATGGTCGGCGGCACCGGCCGTAAGCCCTTCCCAGAATTACGAAAGCGGGATGCGGCAGCTGCGGGGGGCGGACGCTCGGCCTTGGCGGCGCGCAGAGGGGGGTAGGGGGAGGGGGGGAAGGCTTCTTAGAAGGGGACTGCTTCTCAGAAGGAGCCAGCCTTACATGTATAGAGAAGCCCCGCGCCTTCTAAGAAGCATGGGTGCTTCTAAGAAGCCTTCCCCTCTCCCGCTACCCTCCTCTGCGCGTGGCCGCCCAGCCCGCGGGCGCGGGCCTCCAGCAGCGTCTCCAGCGCCGAGGGCCAGCCCTCCGCCGCGGCGCAGTGCACGACGGTCCAGCCAGCGTCCTTTTGCGGGGGCCGGCGGGCACCTCGCCCTTGCCCTCCGCTTCTTCCTCCTCCTCCTCCTCCTCCTCCTCCTCCTCCTCGTCTCCCAGGGCCATAAGCCAGACTCAGAGCGGGCCGTCGGGCGCAGAAGCTATCGAATTCGAAGCCCGACAAGCACGCATCCTTAAGGCACAGGGGCAACGACACCACCCCGTGTTGTGCCCCGATTTTGTTTTCTACAGGCGATGCGCTTCCTACGCTCAGTGTAAGTGGACGAACCTTGTGAAGGAGGGCTATAGGCCCGCCCGAGCTCGGACGGCCAAGGGTCGACTGACGCGTTTGTGGGAGGGCCGCCATCCATCCATAGGGAAGCCCTTGTAAGTCTAAACTTGCACGGCGAAGGCGGCTTGCGTGGTGCTCTCCATCTGCGTAAGTCCTAAGTAGCACAATCCTAGCACAATCCTCCTCCTCCTCCTCCTCCTCCCTCTCTCTCTTTCTCTCTCTCTCTCTCTCTCAGCCTTGAGGTCATCCTGACGCGACCATCCCCCATCTCCAGAGGCTCCACCTCCTCCAGCCTCATCCCTTCAGATAGCTCTTCGCTGTCGCACCCCGAGGCGTGTCGGTAGGGCGGGCCGTGCGTGTCGCCAGAGACTTCCTCACCATGTGTGGTCCTCAGGCTGAAAAGTTACAACAGGTTCACGGATGGAGGGCGGGCCGTTTTCAGAATGCGTCTCTCGCCGTAGCGCCGCTCGCATGTGTCTCAAACGTTTGCGGATTTTTTGCGGATTGAGGGCGGGCCGTTTTCAACATGTGGCTCTCGCCTGAGCGCCCTGCACAGTCGGTTCACACATGGCAAGAGTTGCGCGGATTGAGGGGACTGTGGCTCTCACCTTAGCGCCGCGCACACTCGCCTTAAACATTTGTAAGAGTTTCACTGGTCCCCATGGTTAGCGTACCAGGGATGTAATGGTGTCTTTAAACGATTCAGGATTGCCAGGGCGCAACAGTTGGTTGATTCGCGGTGCTGATCTGCCAGGAATGGTGGAATGGCATGCTGGTGCAATTCAGGATCGTTGCGACGCAACAATCAGGTTGATTTGTGGCGTTGAAATCCCTAAGATTGTGCTTCGGTGCGCTTCCCTCAATGAAAATGAATCCGTGTAGGGGCCCATGAAGAGGGAGCTTGGGGGGAGGGTTTATTCCAACATCGCTGATGAGTCTTGGGTTTGCACTGGTCCTCCTCCTCCTCCTCCTCCTCCTCCTCCTCCTCCTCCTCCTCATTCCTCCCTCCTCCCTCCTCCCTCCTGCCTCCTCCCTCTCCCTCCTCCTCCCTCCTCCCTCACCCCTCCCCCATCCTCCCTCCTCCCTCCTCCCTCCATTTTGATTCAAGCATCGGTTCGAGACGTCTCCGTAAGCATCTTCGCTTTTTCGCGATGGCGCTGTGAATCGAGTCTTTCGCCTCCGCCTGGCGCTTGGGGGGCACCAGGGCTGGCACTCGGCGGAAGATGGAAGCGGACTGTCGAGAATCCTTTCCTGTTAGGGGAGAAAGACAATGCCATAGGCAGACATCAACCGGCTGGGAGCGCATAAGCTGCTTTAACGTTGGTGGTAGTGCAGTTCCCTTCTTGCCGTGGTGTCTTCAAGTGCGCCCATATCTTGGGTTCAATATTGCTGGTTGTGGGGGGTGCATCATATCTCACTTGCGCAACTTGTTTACATGGATTTTGTGGGGCAATTCCCCTGGTACGCTTTTTACTCATTCGCATAGTACGTGTGACAGATGATGTGCGGCGATAGGGTGGTCATTCTCACCTGAGACATGTACTCAATTCAATGTTTTTCTCTTGGCTTCCAAGCGGTGGGGACAGTGGGGAGAACCTGGTAGTGCACTTACCCACACGCCTTCCGCCTGGGCGCATTAACGTTGTGTAGTTGGGCACATTCAGTGTTTGTTTGTTTGGCTTCGCTGAGGAATCAACCCCGCATCTAAAAGATCTGATAAAAGCTGCTGCATCTTGTGCTGCGGAGGAACAAACCATTGGCCTATGCACGCACATGCTGAAAACTCTTTCATTCATCCCGTGACAACGAGGACCTCTTCGGCTTCTCCTGCCTAGTGTGTCCGGAGAAGCTCAGGGGTGGCGTCAAGATTAATATTAGGTGTGTAAGGGTGAGGGGGACCAATGGACCGACCCCACCCCGAGTGTCCGTCGGTAGACGATGAGGGACGATGGTTTTACCCAACGTACCTCCAACTATCGAGTACCTATCATCCGAGCCAAGAGGGGCGATGGATATGAGCAAGATAGGAGGAAAGTAGGGGGATTCACACACCCCCCCCGTCCCGATCCCGCCCGATGCCCACGCACAAAGGCGAAAGGCACCGAAGCGGGGATCGGGATAGGAGAGTGAATCTCTACTGAACTCCTGTCTGCAATCCACTGCTTCAGCCCAGGAAGGAAAGGAAGGGACAGCCAAAACTCTGTCGTAAGGTTCGCACCCAACGGCGGCGCTAACCCGCAAACAAAGTTTTACAGCGCCTGCCGCCGAGATAGAACCCAGGACAGTGCTGTGGGCTGGAGAGAAGTGGAATGGAGAGACTGAGCTCTTACGACACCGACCCAAACGGTCGGTGCCCGAAGCAACACATGATATGAAAGAAATGTCTGAATGTGAAGTCTTCAATCCAATCCAAATCAAAGTAAGATATGTGAACGATTAGGTACGAGGGTGGTGAATCTTTTTTTATGCAAGTTCCAGATCCAATCTGTACCAGATGCAATCTGTACGTCTTGCCACAGTTCGAGTCTAAAGGATATTTATGCGATTGTGCATTATGCGATTTTTTTTTTGAATCTATATGAGTAGTGATCTCACATCATGAGGATAGCTGGCACCATAATCTTTCACACTCAGTTGTTGAGTCCATGAAGGGGAAGAATCCTTGAAGTGATATACCGATCGGAAAGTAAGTGCGAGCGTCCTCAAAGGATAGATATCAACAAAGAAAAAGATAGATAATAGCGATGGGCGCATCAACAATAAGATAAAGTTGGAAGCCATTCAAAATCTTGTGGGCGGCATGGCAACCAGTTTCCTGGTGCATTAGCGTGGAGGATCCCAGCGCCATGTTCTGCCCGTATATTGTCCCGAGGTGTACTTCTTGTTCCATGCAGTCGCGCCCCATCCACTATTGGCGAAAGGATCCCACGCTTTGACCCAGATGAACTCGCCCCAGTGGTCGTACCACTGGCGGTCATATGGAGCAATTTGCCTGTCGTAATAGTGGGCACCGTATTCAGGACTGTAACCGTGGGTCACGTTCGAGATAGCGGGGCGCTTTGCTAGAGGTGGTCCATCATCGGGACGCGCGGGCGCATATCTGGCAGCGGCAGGCGGAGGCGCCGGAGAGGCGACATGGCCATGGCTGTCGAACGCGCCGGAAGAGGTACGATACTCGGATGTATGTGGTGGTGGCTGGGGGGTTGGATCGGTCCCGCTCCCCCTTATGTCACCCCCACTACTGCTTCCTGGAGCATTGTCGCTGCGGTTTCCCGCTGCACTGGCAGTCTCCTGAAGCTGAGAGTAGTATTCTTCGCGCTCTCTCTTAACACCGGAGCGGATCTCGTCCCGGGACCCAGTCAGGGACTGTGGGCGCGCGCGAATTTCTGCGGCGGTGATGGCACCGCGGAGAGACTCGCCCGGGACGTGTACGGTAAGATGGTTGCGCTGAAACCGTTCACGAAGTGTCTCGGCTCCGAGATTCGGTGCTCCAGTTTCTTTTCTCTTTTTGCAGGCCTGCCAGAGGCGATCGGCCTCAGTGGCAACTTCCATTGTCCATGCAACCCTGCCAGCTTGAATCCGAACCGTTGTCATCTGCTCACGAAAATCATCGTCCTCCGCAAAGCGTTGTGCAAGGGACATGTATGGATGATACATGGGAGGGTAGTTTGGATTCTCAGGCAGAATGCCGTCCGCATCGGCTTTTGTACGTAGCCTGTCGCATTCCTCCAGAGATGGAGAGTTCCAAGCTAGCCACCTCTGATGCCGTTTCTCAGCTTTCTTCCCCATATTTTGAAGATCGTCTTTAGCGTCCGTCTGTGGCTTCTTCAAGCCACGCGTATCAATGGGGGCAGCTGTGACGCGCTGGGCGACGTCATCCGGCTGAGTGGCGACAAGCGCAACGAACTGTTCTCGCCAGGCCGCAACTTCGTCCGGCCATTTTGAGTTCTCGTACTTCATGCAAAAGGCACACTTCAGAGTGGCCCCAGGAGTGTCCAAATCGGCGGGCATCCGAGCGTTGCAAATTGAGCAAGAAGGGATGCGAGTCTGTAGCTCTGGAGGTGCCAGTCCTGTGCTCTCGTCGAACTGAGCGAACCCTGCGAGCAAGGTCGCGAAATTTTCCTGAGATACACTACCACCTGGCGCAGAGACGATTTGGCGGGCCCGATCGAGGTGATCAGGCTCAAGCGGGGCAAAGATCTTTTCGTCGTCTTCGTCCAAGATCTTGTCAAGGTCGCTGCGGTTTCCCGCTGCACCCTGAAAGTCGGCGGAAGCGGCGATAGCCTGGTATGCGTCTTGGAGAACTTGAGTGGCGAGTGTGCGTTGTGATAACTGTGAACCAACGACAGATTCGATAACGGTTTTTGTAGCCTCCACATCGTCTCGCGACGCTAGGGTTTCCCCTTGCTTCGTAGCCAATGTGGAAATCTCTCCGTCGTGGGGCGCCGCATTCACGAACTCGTCGTCCACATAGGTCTCTGTGCCCATGCGGAGTGCAGCAAGGCCGGGATGGTTCTGCAGGATCTCGGCGTTCTCAATGCCGAGGAGTGCAAATTTGTCGCCAGCCTGCTGGTAGAGGTTCAGGTATGCCATGGCGCACCATGAACGTCTGCCGTATGCCAGGGTTCTGTATCGGAAAGTACCAATGCACTGGAAAAGGTACTTGGTGAAAGCTCTGTGTCCGCATTGCTCTGGGAAACGGTGACACCATGGTGCATCGCAATTGAATTCGAAGGTCA